CCACCTGGATGCTCCTGAGTAACATGCTCTGACAAGCTCTGGGTGGTCCTGCTTCAGCAGGGGAGTTGGACTAGATGATCTCTAGGGTCCCTTCCAACTCTAAAAAATTCCGTGAAATTCAGTGAAATATGCTTTTGGGTTCAGAATTCCCAAGGGGGAAGGGAGGAAGCGGGAGCAGGACGGGGAATTCCTGCTGGATGGAGCAGCCCACCCAGCTTGGAAATAGCCATTGCAAACAAAATCAAAGCTGTGCTTGCTCCAGACTGCTGGGAGGGCACTGTAAACGGGGGAAGGGGAGTAAAAACACCATTTCTAGAGAAAATTGAGAGTGTTCTGGATGTTTGTTGAAATGGCAGAAGGACACGGTGTGTATTGGGGGGTGCTGCTGCTGCTCAGCCGGCGTTTGGTGGGCGTCTGGCCAAAGGAGATGTTTCAAACCTGGTTTCATTTCTATTCCTGAAATTCCCTGGGACATCTCAGGGCTGTTACTTCACCCTCCGTGTTTACATCCTCCTCAGACTCCCCTGATTGCTTAAACTGCTTGGCGAGAGCCCTTGAGAGTCTTAAAAAGAAACTGTAGGAGGGCAAAAACGGTATTATTTGGCCGTCCTCCTCCAAACGTTTCTGTACCTTAAACAGAGCTTTGGTAGCAGCATCAAAATATAAACATATACGCTTCAAAAAACGCTGCTGACCCTCTTGTGCAGTCCCTGGAGAGCTTCTCCTTTTGGGGGGAAATAATGGACAACCCCAGGCATCGTAAACTAAAAAGTATTTCCTCTTTTTTTTTTTTTTTTCTCCTTCTCTTTCCAGACTTTATATTCAGAGCACCCATTAAATTAAGCAAACCAGGGGAACTCCGAGAAGAATACGAAAACCAGCTAAGGAAGGTATGATATTCTGTGTTAATTCTGGGTTTTTTTCCAGAATAACTTGGATTTCCTGCAGGAATGCCATCCTACCTATAAGGAAACTTGAAGGGCTTTATTATTCCTGCTCTGTAACAAAGGTGATTTATTCCCTTTATGCCCTTCAGGGAAATATTGGCAGGAATTGAGCGTGTAGAAGCCAGATTTTGCTGTCTTAGGCCACCTTCCAGAAGATGGAAATGGACCTTCTTTGGTGGACCTGGAGCGAGCGTCGGGTTTGTCGGAGCATCAGTATTTGGGGATGTGATTCCATAAAGGCTTTTGCAGCATCATCTCCTGCAGTAACATCCTTCTCACAACCAACCTGTTCCAAACTTGAGTTTTCTGTCTATTTTTAGGCAAATAAATTAAAAAAAAAAAAAAAAGTCATTTAAAGACAAAAAAACTGAGAAGGAAAGAAAAGCTTTTTAGTTTTTTCTGTCTATTTTTAGGTAAATAAATTAAAAAAAAAAAAAGAAGTCATTTAAAGACAAAAAACTGAGAAGGAAAGAAAAGCTTTTTATTAAAGACAAAAAAACTGAGAAGGAAAGAAAAGCTTTTTAGTTGATTTGGGGTTAAAATCTGGGAAAATCTTTTCTATCTTTAAAAAGGGATTATTTTTTTTTCTTAATCTAAGTTAAAATGTCCCCGTTGCTGCTCGTAGCTCCTGCCTTTGCCCTCCCTGTCTCTGTCAATAGATTTAATCACCATCCCAAGGCCTTGATCTCTGGTCCAACCTCTTGTGGCTTAATTTACCTGCTGGGGAAAAGGAACAAGGATTTCTCCACCACTCAATTTTATTTGGGTTTTTCCTTGAAAGTCTCAAAAGCCAGGAAGTTGATGTTTCAGTTGGAAAAATAGCTTTGTCCGCTGAGCGATGCTCCGTGGGGAAACACTCCTCAGATGAGGTTAAAGGTAAATAATTCGATCTGGGAAATGCAGAAGAGGCAGTTAAAAATGTGAAAAGGTCTTCTCTGTGCTGCCAAATTTGGGGCATTTTGAGAAGGGTGAGACACTTTGTTGAGAAGCAGTTGGTTCAGGCGGCAGTGTAAGATTTCAGCGCCCAGAAATCTTACTCATATTAAATCTACTTTATTAATTAACTGAAATGTGAATCACTGTATTTGGTAATTCGTTTCTTTTATCACTATAGCCTTCAGGATGAGTCTACTCGGGGTATCTTTGGCTTAAAGAAGAAATAAAGCTTTTTATTTAGGTGTTAACTGTAAGTCTTGCCCAGGGTTTTATCAAACTCTCTGTAATAATGAGCAGGAGATTTTTCCATGATGATGTTGGAGCCAAGTGCTCATTGATCCAGCCAGAATGTTGCTTGATGTCTTCAGTCCAGCTGGGAGGCCAGAATTTCCTGGAAGTTCAGAGGACCAGGAACTTTACTTCTTCTACTTTACTTTACTTCTGCCACTTTGCTCTGGTGAGACCTCACCTGGAGTATTGTGTGCAGGTCTGGAGCCCTCAATATAGGAAGGACATGGACCTGATGGAGATGGTCCAGAGGAGGGCCACAAGGATGATCAGAGGGATGGAGCACCTCTGCTACGAGGACAGGCTGAGGGAGCTGGGGTTGTTCAGCCTGGAGAAGAGGAGGCTCCGGGGAGACCTAATAGCAGCCTTCCAGTACCTGAAGGGAGCCTACAGGAAGGCTGGGGAGAGCCTGT